TGACACTATGATTCTCATCGGCGCATCTGTCTTGTGCACATCTTGAAGACCGTACGCACGTGCCATGCGGGGGTCATTGAGGGCCATAGATCTTCTGTTATCGGGGGTTATAACTTCAATGGGCAAGCTCATTCATTTTCTTCTTGATAGCCGCGGCTTGTTTTTTCGTCGGGTCTACGGCGAGTGACGCATAGGCTTCCCTTGTCCATGACAACGGTTGCTCCTCCTTTGTCAGCAGACATAATACCTATTTTGTCATCAGTCCACGGTTGCTCCTCCTTTGTCAGCACACATAATAACTATTTTGTCATTTGTTCTCGGCGATCGCAAAACCTTTTCTTCTCGGGTCGATAGGATTTGATGATGCTTCCATTGTCGAAGGAGACCAGTGACGCAGCTGCAAATGCTTAATGATACATTAAGGACTACTTTTTCAAAAAGAAGTCCCTCGGAAAACACTCGAGTGACCGATCACAATTGTGAAAACGCTCAGCATGAAAAGAACACCAAAAATGTATGTCATTACCAACTCTGCCTCAACGCTAACCGCACAGAAATTTATGCTGCGATAAAACAGAGATCAGATACTTTTGTTTGGTTCGAAATTGCCCTAAAATAATGTGAAGCGTCAAAAAACTGCCTTGCGAAAGGCGATGTATTTGAGGTCCACATGACTACAGCGTACTGTCCTTTATACATTATGCCTTATGCAGGGAGGCATCGCAAAACCTTTTCTTCTCGGGTCGATAGGATTTGATGATGCTTCCATTGTCGAAGGAGACCAGTGACGCAGCTGAGTATGTCCGCACACATGTCATCAGGGACGTCGGAGGTCAGTAGGGGGGATTAAATGTTGGCTAGGAATTCCGTGGTTGCAGCATCGGTTTGACTGCATCTTATTCCCTTATACAGGACGGTAATTTCAGTGGATGTTAGATCTATATTCGAAAGCTTACCACCCTTCGTAGGCATACGGTGCTCGCTGGCCGTGCAAAGAAGCGAATTTATTTTCGTTTGCAGTTTGGTCCGATCCTTCATTCTGGCGTATTAGCTGGTGGCGTTTATTCAATGAAGTATATCTGAAATAGCATTCTGGCACAGAATATTCTAGACATGCTTAAGCTTTGCCTAAAGAATTATTGTCAGTTCGATGACAAGTGCTGTCAACGAGTAAAGCACACCCTGAGGCACTAGTCTTACAACGACTAGAACAGGACGTTGCGCAAACCTTCGATCCAAAATGCGGCTCCGTTACGGGGACGACACATTTGTCATCATAAAGACCAGCGAAGTTCAGCGACTGTACCAGAATTTAAATAGCATTCTCCCGGCCGTACTGTCTACTTGCGAAGAAGCAACAGGATATACCCTCCCGTTCATAGATATGAGTATACAAAGACTTAGTTATGGCAAACTAGCAGCAAGCATCCACTGGAAAGACTTCAGTGCCGAAGTCATACTTAACTATGGGAGCACGCCCATGAATATGAGCTTACCTTCAATTGGGACGGTGCTGAGGTGATCGCAAAGGCTAATAACAGACAGGTGCGAGAATTCCTCTGTAGGTCATTGTCTTTCATGCCGCGCCAGCCGACCTAGTCTGCCGATTTCACTTTCCCCTCTGATTATTTCGTCTGACGACAGGTCGGTGTCACCGACTTGAAAATTTTCGAATAAAACTCGATTTTCCGAAGAACCTCCCTTTTTCGTATTATTTATATACCAGCTTCCGAAGTGTCGTAGGCTTACATGCTCAGGGATAAGAGCTGCAAACGGAATAACCGACCGTTTTAGGCGTGTTCTCTAGTGAATGATTGGTGCCACATATTCATCGCATCTTACTTGTCTCATTGTGTCGTGTCCAAACTCTTATTTTAACTACTTTGGTCAGACTAGAAGCATGCTCGGCTCGCGCATGCACGGACATAATCTGGCTGTTCGATGCAACGACAGTTTATCACAAGCAGCCACCCACACTTACAGAACGGATCTCAAGTTTGATTTCATCGTGACTAAAATGATCAATCAAGCCAGAAGTAGGACAAGTTGAGACTTAACCTGTATCTTGGATGGGATATGGCACCAGCATCCAGGGCCGTGTTTTTATTGCTTGGGATCTGCATCACTAATCGGGGACTGGCAAATACACCTTTATAGCCAACGCTTGTTCTTCAGTATTTTTGTCACCGATGCTAAAGTCCTGCACGGATTCGAAAACTTTCACAAATAGACAATTAACTTCTCGGTCCGACTAGTTTTACTCCTACTCCTCAAATTCAGCCATTTTATCAAAAAGACTATCGGTACAACTACAACTACCAACATGTTTTTAATGTGCAGTAGTTTGAAGGCATCTGCGATCCTTTGCGCAGAGGTACCTACATTTTAAACTGAAACGTTTACTCCTCTTAAGTCCAAATAATTAATTGCCTGCAGATTTCATCCCTTTATTTTGCCCGTTCCCTTCTTGGTTACTGTCCTCTAAAAGTCTCTGCCGCAGTGTCCATTGAATGGCCAACTTTTCCAACAGGTTTTAAAAAAGTTACAAAAACTTTGACGGTTGCATCTTTCTACAGTGACTTCAGTAACCAGATAAAAAGGGGACGAAAGTGTTAAGCCATATGTTTAAAGTAACAGTGATGACCATTTTCTGTATTTAACAATTTTGCGAAGTATACGTGGGATTTTAAGGTCATCCTCATAATATGCAGGCTGACCCCAAACGAACAACATCTGTGAAATGTCTAAAAATGTTCGTTAGCGTTCCGCGGTGACCTTTAAAGAACATGTGTTTTAGTAACCTACATTAACAGGACACGCTGGCTTTAGACAGCAGGGTCCTTTCACGCGAGAAACGGCTACAAGGGCCAAAACACTCGAAACGAATTTCTGTTCAAATTTTCATGAATACCAGGTAAACATATGAAGTCACGCAGACGCGAAGCAAAAAAAACAAGGTTTCTCGGCAAGGTCTTCAGTTTAGGAAAATGAAATTGTTGTCGTCTTTTTGAAGATTGCGTAATAAGTACCTGTGGCCAGTCGTTAGCATACTTGTGCTTTATCCATGGAATCATAATTTGAAGAATGATGATAAGCATACCATTTATTTTAAATAAATCAACAATTTTGCAACGAAACCAGATACCTTGTGGGAACATTTGCGTTTATCTACTTGTTTGGATTCTTTCTAAACTACGCTGTATACATACAGCGTTTTTTAACCAAATTGGGCTCTGACGTCTTCCAAAATGTAGACAACCAAGCAGCATTACTTCGTTTGTTAACGTATATTATGTTACAGAAAACTAATTCCATCAGAAAATATTATGTACTAATGAAGGCGATATTTTAGCCTGCCTGAATTCGTCTGCAACTAATACCTCAATGCCATGCTGCGAAGCGTTTTGTTCTGGGCCTTTGTTTAATATGCGATCAGGTCGGTGTACGAAATGCTCAATCAAATCTTCAAGTGATCACCATAGCCAAGAGTTCCAAAAGAAATGCATGTTAATCACATAAAAGCTACTTGTAGATCCTGCGGAATTATTTTTTAGCATGTAAAGCGATCACCTCTGCTGTTGTAATGGCCATCTATTCAATGACCATGGTGTGGTGTTCGCATTGTCCTTAATTTCAATTTTCTTAAACAGTAAGAGGTCATAATCTTTGATATGCTTCGTCGTGATAACACTTTCTGAACTTTTAAAATATGACGAAACGTCATTCTGCTGCGGCAACAATTGCAGACCTCCTTAAAAACAGTGACTGTCGTTTTGCATCCTGCGAACCGCTGCATTCTACTGGCATTAGAAAATCACTTTTTTCCTGTGGGTCTTCGGGATTCCAAAACAAACACGTATGATGCCGTTTTTTTCTTCGGATAAAAAGTTTGTTGTAACGCCTTTGAAAGGGACGGAAACCGGTCCGGTTTAATTCATGTTAATACTTTTTCGCAGGTGCATTTTGCAATAGTATCAGACAAGATTAATTCATTTTCCGCATAATTAAATGCCAAGACGTTTGGATGGTTCTGGAGGACGAAAAGGGAGTTGCTAGTATCTTTACTTGTCAATAAGATATGCATCCAGGTTTTGGACTTAATACAATCCAAAACGCCAATCAAGCAAACAAAACACTGGCACCACACCTTTGTGGAAAACAGTCTGCATGACGTCGAACACTATAGGCAGGCCTACCAGTGAATTTCTCTTGTATCGATTTATATCCGACTTGATTCTTGACAGGCTGATTGCTTTATGTGCTAAAATCTGTCAGTCGAGGATTCCGCAAATATTGTATATTTATGTATGTCATTTCCTCTTGATATTCTTATTTCCGATCCGACATTTAGTGTGGTTTTGACCTGTCCCTCTACTGTAAAATTTAAACTTATCACAGTTACGTGTTTTGCGGTTTAATATCATAACGATTGCTTACTAATTATTTATAATTTTCAAGTGACCAATAAAAGTCTGTGTGCGTATTTTCGTTTATTGTCCTAAAACCAAATGCTCGGGCGACCCACCAGTCGTAAAGTTTTGTGCAACGAACATGGATTTAAAGACAACGGCCACAATTACATCAAAGGCCTAGTAGGCCTCTGCTGGAACGTTTAATCAGGTAAACATTGCTGTGCTAAACTCAAAATACCAAATTTATTTTCAAATATTATCAACGGTTGTAACATGTATAGCGTATTATCTTTCACAAAATGCAGTTACATTTCAGTTTCCATACGTATCGATTTACTTTGTGAGAGTTTTGCGCTGCAACTCTGCATCTGCCTATGTGCAAGATGCTGATGTGTCGACGTAAAAACTGTTTGGGTACTGCGAAATTTCGAAAGAATATCAAATCTACGTAGACAGTGCCGACAGGCCGTTGAACAACCTTGCCTATTCCTTAAAAAAGACCAGACAAAATTAACGGTTGATTCTTCTTTTTAGTTTATATTTTGTAAGAAATAAATCATATACAAAAGTGAAGCTTTGTCGGAATAACTAATAAACACCACGTCTCGAGTTGATGGCTTGCTTTGAATTCTTGAAAAAGGACTTCAGTAGGAAGATGAAGGTCTCCCGAAACCGGCTTGACATTAGACAGTAGAGCATAAAGTTTCCGCTGTTATTCAGCAGAGTGAGAAGATCCATAAAGTCCCCCAATTTCTCGTAGATATTGCTCCCAAAGCATTCACCAATAATTTGGTGAAGTATGAGCATAATAGACTATAAGTGTAGGAAAAAAGACAGTAGGCAGAATGCAGTATAAAAAACGCAAAAAGTAAAATATTGGCCGTTATGACAGGGCAATAGGAAAAACTATACGTTGACGCACCGCTTACGTTTTGTGACGCGACCGGTGGTCACCAAATTATCATAGTTAATTACCTGATCTCACTGAATAAGACAACAAGCATGTGACTCAGCGGTTAGAGTTCTGGACATCTAACGAGCATAACACGGACTCGAGTCTCAAGAGTTGCAAATCTGCTTGGCAGCCCCAAGAGAATCTGACAGATGTTATTTCAGCATTGCATTATTCCAATATCAAACGATTGATTCAGTCATGAAATGTTATCGACTATCTCGTATTTATTAGGCTCTGGGAACCAGTCCTGTCTGCAGCAGCGCATGTAAAACCAACAGATGTCGTGTAAAATAGTTTTTCTCGCATCGGACTTTTTTTATGTCGTTTATGTTGCAAATTGCAAATATTCGAAATCCATGAAAACCAACCCATCCCACTGAGGCATCTCATTCTGTTCATTTTTTACACTGACTTTCATTTCTATCTCCCAGGACAAACCTGTTTGCGTACTGCGCTAAAGACACGCTTAATGATCACCCCTGGTAATATTTGCCTTCAAATAAGTAAGCGGCTTTTTCTTCGAGGCAACCGATCTCGCTAAAGTGCAAATGTTTTTGTGAAATTCCGTTTTAAATATATGTTATCGAAATTTCGCTATATTTACTAAATTGCTGACATTGAACCCTTTGGATATATTACACGTTCATCGTTTGATTGTTTGTTTTATTGAGCAAAGACGTTTTTGGTCTCAGAGCTGCTAACACTCAGTTTTTTATGTTCAGTAACTGACATGGGTTGTCTGTAAATCGGATCGCTCTTGTTTATTTTGTCACAAACCAGTAAACCCAAATGCATCGCCCTCTACGCATGAGTGCACAGCGGCTTTTCTACTTAAAAGATTTTTCCACTACTGGGCAACATATGGGGGGGTTCCACCAACGTTAACTCATTCGCTTGAATTCAAATTTCAGAATTCTGTCAAATGACATTTTCTTTAAAATGAGCTGGCTATTGTTTTTCCCAAAACCGCAAAAACATCTTCTTCAGCATTAGATGGATAAAAGTCTAGAGATTAGAAGCGGCCGCAGGAAAATAAGAAAGATGACGACTTGGCTGTTTTAGTGAATAAAAGTCACCATTGAATACGCCTTTAAAGGTAAAATTTGAACAAATCTTTAACCTCTGCAATAAAGAGAATTTTATTTAAGCAGTTTTAAAAAAGGCAGTTTGGAATTGTTGGTGACTGTTTTTTACGAACAAGCGCTAGGAGTTACCTGCGTAATTTAACAGTGAATGTGTCCAGATAACGTCTGCCTACATAATCTAAGTTAAAACTCTCAAACGTGCACAGAGGTACGGTCCGTATAGGAAAACGCCATAAGTGTTCTCCGCCGTCCCTTTCAAATTTTCAACATTCTGAAATACGGCGCCGGGGTCAATAGTGCACGCTGCGATTTCTAGAAATGGCATCTTTGAAAATGTAGAATAGTGTGTGATTTGCTTCTGTGCACAACCGCACTCATTTTATTCAAATAAATAGAAGTGCTCTCAGATAAAAGCATCTCAGGAACATTGCTGCTGCTAGTGAACGTTCGTAAACGCTTGCGTCAAAGGCCGACACCTTTTTAAAGATGTTTTATAAGTCTGTTCAGTTTGAAATACTTATATGAACAAAATAACTTTTCCCAATATGGATCGAACCGTTTTTTCACATTTTACCGGCAGTCTCTGCTGCCTTGCCCAAGAATTTGTTTGAATTTAATGATAGTTTTTGCATTATACACCGGCCTCATAGTCATAGTGATGTACATGTTAACTTCTCTCATCTGCCGAAAAAACAGTCCGTCCCTTTACCTTGATAGCCGGGCTTTTCAGCTCATTGCACGTAGATCGACTTGCTTTGGTCGCATAAGGTTGAGAAGTGTCCGCTAATGCATTTCTGCCCCGTAAACTATCCGACGCACAAACCTTTCGCCAAAATTCACGAAAGTGTAACCGAAATTTGCATTTTTAATACAATATATTCCTTGCTTTTAGTTTAATGTCTGACAGAGATATTACATAAAATTCTGTTACGAGGGATAAGGAGGCTCGCAGGATTCATTAACTCGTGTCAAGATTCATATTCAAATATCGCAAATATTTTGTAAAATTTCTGTTTTCCATGGATGACCACCATCGTTGCTACAATTTCCGAGATAGCTTTTTCTGAACGGACCTATAGATAGCGTCTCCAAGTTTCTAAAGCAGCTAAGATAATGCACTAACTTCATCTTCAAAGCGCAACTGCTTACACGTATGTGGTGTCGCATAAAATATCTTTAAGGAAAGTAATACATGCGTCTCAGAGAATATGCATACTGAGTACTTCGACAGGTGTTTAGGCAGGAATAAATCCGTAAGATTTTGATTGAATCATTAGGCAATAACACAACGGAACGAGTGAGTTCCGTATGAACGATCGGTGAGCGCCCCTTAGCATTGTATATTCCCGATCAAAAACCGACAGGGCAACGGGCTCGTGGCCCGGTGGATAGAGGCGTGGACTTCTAAACTAACAGGTCGCGAGTTCGAGGCTCAGGTGTTCCACACTTCGGGCTTGGGTATGGCTGGCTGACAACGGCTAATAAGCCAGAAATGGCCACTCCAGTCTTACTTTGTCGGTAATGCCATTCTGCCAATAGCTGTTGTCGTTGTGTATTGCCAGTAAGGTTTGATGCAACAAGCAGCATGAAGGTCTATTTTATTTGTGGCACTTTTATAAATCAGGAGTTTTCAATCGCTGAGAGGAAGGGCGATCGTGAAAGCATGTTTATTCGCAACAAGTGCTGATGTATATGTTTCCGCCTTTGTCATTGCAACTCCAAAAACCATGCCCGCGTATGTGACTGGAGAGCAGTCAAGCTAAAATCTTATACGCTCAGCTGTATCGATATTTTTTCAAATCCGTTCCTTTTTCCTTTGAGCGGCAGTCCCAGTTAAAATCAATTCTGCTTAAAACCAATCTCTACAGTAGATGTGCTAACTCATGAAATGTCAACCAAAATTTCGAAATGCGTTCTCGTTTCGAAAAGATAAATTAAGTAGTGTTGTAAAACTAATCACGATACAGCATAAGTCTATAATTATCCAGTTACCTCCGGGGGTCGGCTTTTGAAAGAACTTATTTTCGGCTGAATGCGAGATCTAGTCTCTGCAGAAAATTACTACTTAAGTGGCATGCAATTTTCTCATTGATTTTCGATGCCCTTGAAAATTCAATTATATTCCATGGAAAACATGCAAAAAAATATTCCTTCTCTTTTGTATTCTGTAGAAAATCACGTCTTCTTCAAATTTCATACTCAAAAGAAGAGTATAATTCGGTTTTAAAAAAGTTTCTAATTGTGAGATTTTTTAATACCGTTAAATGGCCGTTATGAAACGTCATGTATCTGCATTTAAAAATGTGGCCTGTACAGTTAACAATATTGCATGCATTTCCCTACGCTGTTAAGAGGAGACCAGATGAGGTTCAAAAAATTAAGCAATGGATTTAAACAATTATATTTCATGAAAAACATGCATAAAAATATTCATTCTTTTACTCATTCGGTAGAAAATCATGTCTTCTTCCAATTCCATACTCAAAAGAAGAGTATAATTCGGTTTTTATAAAACTTTTCTAATTCTCGAATGACTTTGAACGCGACCTGCTTTTACACTTGCATTCAGAGTTTCAAAACTACAAGCTGTATATTTTACGTGTTCGGAAAACCATACATTTCTCTACGGTGTTAAGAGGAGACCATATGAGTTTCATAAAATTAAGCAGTGGATTTGGGCAATATTGTTAACTTTGCAAGCCACATTCGTAAATGCAGATACATGACGTTTCATGAACGGCCATTTAACGGTAGTAAAATGTCTCATTATTAAATACTTTTTATAATCGAAATATACTCTTCTTTTGAGTATAAATTTTGGAAGAAGACGTGATTTTCTACCGAATAAGTGAAAGAATGAATATTTTTATGCATGATTTCCATGAAGTATAATTGAATTTTCTAGGGCATCGAAAATCAATGACAAAATTGCATGCCATTTATTATTCATTTTTTGCAGAGTCTAGATTTTGCATGCAGCCGAAAAAAGTTCTTTTGAAAGCCAACACCCTGATGTAACTGGATCATTATAGACTTATGCTGCATCATGATTGGTTTTAAAGCACTTTTTAATTTTTCTTTTCGAGACGAGAACGCATTTCGAAATTTTGGTTGACATTTCATGAGTTAGCACATCTACTCTAAGTGTCGATAAATGTTCCGCAGATCTGTGCACACGCCAAATTTTTGCCCTCATCGCCTAGCAGTTTTAGCCATATTGACCCAACGGTGGCGGCAATATTTGCTGCTTATCTTTGCTCATGATGTGTCAGGTTGACCTGGGATAAGCCGCGACGTTTTGACTGCTGTAGCAGGGTTACACGGGACGTGACCTCGATAATCCGAGTCAGTCAAGCCGGCTGTAGGCAGAGCAAAAGAGGGGTAACGCAAGTCCATCTGAGGTTGGTGTTCCCAAAATTGCAGGGTTCAAAAAGCAACGGTGTTCATGTAACTGGCAGAGCCGCAAAATTGCAGATAATTTCAAAATACTTAACTGGTTTGGAGTTACTAAAATTCCTATGGAAAAATAAGAAGCAAATGACGTCGATGGGAAAAACAGCACATACTGAATAACATGAGGTAGGCCAGGAACGTGCGTTCGCACGAATTACCATCATGAACCGTAAACTACTTAATACTCGACAGGTCCATAGCATTGGATTAACCGTCGTCTCACTCACTTTTGTAAATCGCACGCAGAATAAATTCCTTATTGGTTTCTGTGTAACTTTTTATTCATGACTAACGCTTCTCTGCAAAAATTATACCTCATTTGGTAGTTAAATAACAATTATGCATGAACCTGCAAGAACTTTCATCGTGACAGTATTTTGCAGTTAAAGGAGTTTTTAGATATTAAAAGATAGTATTATGAAAATCTTACATTATTCTGACGCTTTCTAAGTATGATAAAAGCTTTTTCTACCGAAACAAAATCTTAATACACATAAGCATGCATGTAGTAGAACTGAAGTTAAATGTACTTCCAGTTATTACGTATTCAGCATGAATTGCCTCTAGAGAAATACATGGAATACAGTTCTGCGGGGTAAGACGAAGAGAACACAAGAGTAAAGGTCGGAGGGGCGGGCGATTGGCTTGTGATAACTGCCCTCCGTTTTAGCAACGAGCATGACGGTTCAGTGGATCTCCAGTTAACTCGATAGAGATCAGCGGCTGTTGCTTTGGGATGGGCGCAGAGGCTCAATGAGCCGTGCACGCAGCTCTTCATACTGAGCGGTTGATACTAAGTGTGTAGGCGTACCTATGCTTAAAATAGCGCTGGGCACGAGAAGGCCAGTGCAGCGAAGCTATCGCTCTTTTTCTGGACAACGCTGCCTCAAATAAAACTAATGCCTACAAGTTTATTTGTCGGTTTCCATCGACTGAGAACGGTAGACTGAGAACAGGAACGATGACTAGCGCGAAAAAAGGAATAATGAACCCCCACAGCGTCGTCCCTAACCTCCCCTGTCTCCTCCCCCTCCTGGGGCCAGTGTCATGATCACGTCGAGAAAACTGGGTGTGGGGAAGGGCACAGATGGCTGGCGCGGTCGGAGCTAAGCCTAGGCGTGCCGTCACAGTCGACCCTTGCCCCACGTAATGGGATTACCGTAGAGGCTACATTAAGGAGCTATTACAGCCAATTATCAATCCACACAAAACACACCGGACTAACTGCGTGGTCCGAGTTATTTTGTCAACCGGCAATCTTTCAAGCCTCGACGTTAACCATACCGTGATAGATTTAAGCGCGTCAGATTATTTAAGCTGAGGGAAGTGCTCTGAGACGTCGACCTCACTCCCTATTCCCACGACCGGACACAAGTCCATTGTCAAAACCCGGCAAATTTCTGGTGCTGAAAGTTGACCCAGTGTCTGGAAGAACTAGCGACCCCGTTTAGGCACGCCACATGTACGACCTGCCTTCCCAAACGTATACACCAAGATAACGCACACAGGGGCGAGGGTAGAAATTCAATGCGGGAAGTGCAGTGAACTAACATCATACACAATATTTCAAGTGTTGATTTTTCTCCCATTTAATGGAGCCGTATTACTCGTCGTCTTGGTACTGGAAATGACGAAGATACGTTGACAGTCTGTCTACATGACCCTTCATTCCGCATTCAAAGGTAGCCACCGCCTCAATTCGGCAGATGTTGCGATGGTTGTCACCGTGCATAAAAAAAGTCATGAAAATTTCTTGAACCTTGGTATTCGTACACAAACCGTATCAATCGTCCTGTTGACTTGAATTTTCACTACAAGAGTCTGTGTTTAGGACTCAAACAGTCCCGTACCGAAGACAGTTACTTATGATTTCCATTGAACCATTTCCGGTACCATTGAACTCTCATCACCAGTTCAAACGCTGCCAGACTTTCCTAGTAAACGTCCTCACCCTGTCCAACGGTCATGTTATGCCTTCTGTTTATGTGACCTCCGCGTTCAAAACGTACTAGTAGAGTCATATCTCCCTTGTCTTCATATTTCCTGCTAAGGACTTGTCATTGTCACCAGAAAGTGGAGCTAAGGCGAGCTACAGACATATTTTTCTGACCGAAATACAGCGAGAGAGTATGTAAAACCACATTATAGGATGTGAAGCTATTTTGTATGAATGAATTACGCTGACCGGAGGATTTAATAGGGCCCCCATGTTGGTCCAGCGCATCTACCGCCAAACTAGCCACCATGACAAACACCAACATTCGGGGGGGAGGATGACGGGCCCATTTGCCGGCCCACGTCACATCCACTGAAGTCATAGTCACCTGCAACCTTTTTGTTGTATAAAATATTACTTAGTTTACGCATATGGACCAGGAGATGTGGTGGCACGCTTTGGCGCGAATTCGGCCGTGCCAGTCGCCTGCGCCCTCTCCCACTTCCGGTCTTCTAGAAAATTCCTTGACATCTGACCCAAGTGGGAGAGGATGATATAGTGTGGTAGATCCAGTGCAAGTCTACTACCTCTATACACTTATTCACGCACACGTCACCGTGCCTGCTCTCACCCTGCGGTGGGGCACACGGTGAACATATTCGGTCACGACGCTCGAACTGTTATTCTCACCGGAGACAACTACTCAAACCTATTCATGCACCATAACATTGAGCGTTGCTCACAGTCATGTCAAAGGCGATCCGTCGCATGAGTTGACATTATTATCTAAATTACTACTTCAGAATTAGCGGCGAACGCCAGGCAATAACGCTTAACAATCACCTACTCGCAATGCGACGGAGATGTGCCGTTCCCTCTAGTACCGGCCTGAGAAATGTTATTTATTTGCCTTCAACGACCAGAAAGTTTGTAGTTTTCCCGAAAATAAAACATTCGCAAATATGGCATCTTGCGCGTTAATCGCGTAGCTGACGTACAGTAAGTCTTCCAGGGTGTGCGTTATCAACTAACCAAGAGAAGGTCACTGGAATTGTTGCTGGGTGTTTATCCGAATGGTGTTCAAATACGTTTTTGGCACTTGGCATTTACCTTATCCTTAAATTGGTTGGTGATGGCACGTTCAAATAGGACTGTGAAACGTCGAATCCATTCACACTTATCCTAGGATTCATGCTCGACAACAAGAGACTTGATGTCCAGCGCCTGCCGACACCACCTCCGAATGCAGCGACTGTGGAAAATAGCTTGTAACTAAGGTCACACTAATGCAACCTTCATCTTACTTGCATGACGTGCGACACGCCTCCAATGATTTTACAATGAATTCTATTAAGAGACCAAAACAATCCAACAAGAATTCTTAAGACTACCTTCTCTGCTAATACACGTACACATATACGGCTGATTTAGGTGAAAATACGCCCTTCCAGATATAACTGAGAAGGTAGCGTTCTCACAAGGGCTACGATTTTAAATTCAAGGAGAATTTAATCATACTTCCTGTGATCATCTTACATTCTCATATATATAATTTTTCCATGCTAAAAAGTGAACGCCTAACGATTCCTTCTAAACCTTTTTCCAAGAGAACGCCTTGTGTTTTGAAGCCTTATACTCGGTTATTGTACCTCAAAGTCGCTAAAATGTCACCCCAAACAAAAGAAAACTGTCAGAATCGAACAAACTCATTATTATTATTCTGTCAGATATCTTGTTATCTTATCTTTGTTTTAACCGAAACCACACACCCAAAGCCTTCTGCTTATTCTTTTTCTGTTCAATAACATGACAAAATCAAACGAATGCTTGTGCCGTAGAGCGAACAGTTCATCGGACCATTGGTATAGATTGTTCCAGTAAAACTACCGAGTATCTCTCACCAACGCGGTCTACCAACCCCTCCGGATTGATGTACACAAAGCTAGTCTTAAGTTAAATAGGCCCATTCAGACAGGCAACACTCATGTTGCCCTCCTTGCTGACTGTTGTATGATCAACTGTCTAGCCAAACTCGTGTATGTCAGAAGCGCATTATCAGAGATAGGCGTGCGTTTACATAGCGTTAATTCGGGATCATTCTACCCTTATTTTGTTAACCATATTCGTAGTAGTCGTTTGGAGCATAAAGCGTAAATAGTCCATAGACGCGGTTTGCGGTATTGGTTATAAACAGTCAATTGTGCAGCGATTAATGAGTAGCCTCCATTTGATATTATGTTTCGCCACAGACCAAAATGGTTCGTCTAGGTGCGCCATGCGTCAAGGCTGACAATGTTTGGGCAAACGCAGAGCAAGCAAGATGCAGTATTTTACCAGTCTACAAGTATTTCCGTAGCAAGTATATCTCCTAGGTGGTTGCTGATTTATGACGTCTAATCACTCGGAAGTGTTTGCTACGGAAGGCCGTAGATCGCCGTGCATCTATGCCTTCATGAATATATATAATCTTAGATCGCGGTCCATAGTGCATTTATGTTTTTCTTCAACAGCCCATGCTTTATGGACATAAGCGTCGGCTGTTGAAAACCTTAATGGGTTCGCTATTGCGGAATCCTCCAATGCAATAGTACAAACTTGAGTTCTTACAAACTGTCGACAATCTTCACGCTTATTAGGGGCTTTCTTTCACGATCTGTACATCTGTAGTTGAAATGCACATTTTTCTTATCGAGTTCCCTTGAAACGTTAACTTATTTTCCAATTTTCGGCAGGTTTTACTCCCTTTAAATGTGAACCGCTGTTACCGAGATCTTCCGTAGATTTGGTGTTTACGCACACAACATCAGTTAACAACATGTTACGTAGCGACATTTTAAGGTGAAAGTTGCTGGTTTGCTGATGCCTAATGGGACATCTCTTTGTCGGTTAGAGGGCACATGCCGAATTTATGTTTGGCTGCTCTCAAAGACGAAAGCTTGAAAGTAACGCGAGGCCTCTGTCTTGTAAAACTTTATCTTTTAATCCAAAAGGACGGCATCAAGAATAAAGAAGTACCGAAAAAGACTAAGAAAACTGTGCTGGCCATTTCTGGCTTACATATCGTTAGTCAACAATACCCAGTCCCAGGTTTGCAATACCTGCGTGGTTACTTGTCGCTGTGCAAATGTCAGCAAGGGTTCCAGATTAAACCCTTAACCTTGCTAAGACGAGCATGTCCTCTAAACTAATCAGTGAATGTCCTGCCACGAATGTAAAATTAGCCCAGAAACTGAATTGCCCGATCGAATATTAAGAAGCTTAACTGCAAATTCGAGAATACACAGCACAGAATTTCCAAAAAAACGAGCAATCATTATTGTAGACTTACTTGAGGCAGGTAGGTTATTATGTAAAGAACAATCAGCGCGAATAATATATTTGTTGTCTGATGTTTATTCCTCGTTGAGGATTCATTGCATGTGGCCCTCTGTTTGGCGCTTACGAACGCCATCGGCGTGGCATCCTTGGTCGCGCCTTCACTGCTCTCCGTCCGTTCGTTACGTAGACGCTGGCGTCGTTTTTCAGAACGTCTGATAGTGTGTATCAGGCCAGCGCTGAAGGCTGTCATAAGGACAATCGGTAGGGCCTTTATGAAGATTGCACTTGTCAAAAACAGCAGCGCTCTAAGTACACCATTGGGCACAAAATCGATCCCATAGGCGGTTGGGTGTTGTGGACTGTCGTCCAAATCAGCGCCGCTCCCGGTGCCAGACTCTAATGCTGCGTCATCCAGGGGTTTTACTTGATGCGCTAGAAGAAAGGGAATCGCCAACACAGCAGAGAGAATGCAATCAGCTAGGATGATCTTGCGTGCCCGAGAGAAACTACAGATGCTGGTCGAGGTGACGCCGGCGCGCATGAAAATAAGACGAAAAGCTGCCAAGAATACAATCATCCAGGTGGAGAATGTGTGTACCAGATTCTGGGCAAAAAGGTACCCAAGTAAGGTGTAGGCGTATGCTCGAGGGAGACCCTTTTCGAATCTGGCCAGCATCCGAAAGAAAATGACGTAAAACGTGTAAATGGCCATCACAGTGCCCTCGCCGATGGAGAGAGCTGCCAGAAGGAGGTTTGAGGAGGAACGCATTGTGGAATGGCTCAACACCACGACATTTACGATGTTGGCGATAATGCCGCAAATGCAGATACCCAAACTCAGAGGTACGTGAATGGGTGCGTACGCGGAACTGAATTCATCCAGCGCGGGGATTTCGTACGGCCCGCAGGATTTATTTTCAGACAGAAGCTCGCCGAGCTCCGTCAGATTTGTCATACTTGACTCATTTGGTCCAGAGGAAGAAGGCGCACATAAGGCCTGTGGGTTTATATTCAATGCGAATGATCGCACGTCTTTTTGCAGAAATAATACGTAAAAAGTATTCGGCAAATCCTCGTCTTAGCCAATGAATGAGTCCGCCCTGGCGCTGCCTATTAATTGGCCAAAACGTGGTGGTGGTACTGAGAGTACGCGTTGCGTGGACGAGTTAGAAGTAACCTTTCTGTGGAATCGACGTATTGGCTTAATTCCACTACTAGGGACACTGACGTTACTTTTGACGTATCGTAAGAACTTGACTGTGCTTGGCCAATCAAGACGTCTCTTCTAATAGGTTCCTCTTCCCCAAAGGCTGCTTGTCATAATATTTTGGTAGCTGCAATGCTTTCTTTTTCACTAATTATGCGCAAACAAAACGTTGCCAAAAGTTCCCAGTGAATAGTCTTAAGGAGCATACCATGGTGCGTTTTTGTTGACCTGCGATTGAAATTGTTATATTGCTTGTTTTGGGCGTTTTAGTTTACTCTGGTTCTTTCTGAAACTGTTCTAATGCTAACAGTTCTCCACAGAGTGGCCGGGCTCACATTGAAAATTTTAGCTAACGACGCGTGCGGCAGCCCTTTACTGCCATTTTCCGCATATTCCAAAACTAATGCCCAGCAGGAACGCCTTAGCTATTCTCATTGCCCGGCATTACACAGATAACTGACAACAGGTCGGAAGTATTCAACATATATACGTATATATTTATTTGCGCATACTGGTTTTTAGCTTGGCAAAATGACCCACCGTCCGGTCAGCCTATTACAGCACTTACTGGAATAAACAGTCATATATTAGGAAAATAGAATTTTGAAGCGTAATCCGTCCCTCGTTTCTTGAAAACAGTGTGTTCTGGCGGATCTGAATCTACCTGATTTTTATAAAAATGTCAGCCGACATTTTGGCATGCGTTTTCGACTCAGAAAGATTAGTTAAATAGGGTTGTAATATTAATCGCCGTGCAGCAAAATCCAAGCATACTTCAGGGTATCGGCTATTGAATGGATTTCTTTCCGGCTGCCTGCAGAAAATGTACTCTGTAAAGAATGACCACTTGCGTAGAATGGATCTTTCTCATTGATTTTAAGTATCCCATAAATTTAAAAATATTTCATAGAAAATATGCATTATGTTATTTACCCTTTCAATTGTTTGGTATACATCTAAGTCTTCTCCAAATGTCATACATCAAGAAATGGCATAATTCGTTTTTAAAATGCTTCCTATTACGAGGACTTTTTAGAGCCGTGAAATGTCAATTCATAAAAGATCACATTGCGTCATAGATAAATGCTGCGTGTAAAGTTTACAACATGTTTTATAACCGCTGCAACCCTTTACGAACCCCACACGGTGTACTCGTAATAGCTCCTGGGAATGTACGATGTTCCGTACATGAAACATATATAGCTTGCCGTTTTGAAACCCTGAATGCAGTTAACTGCGGGTCATGTCCAAAATTATTCGGGAATTGGACAAGTTATTAAAACCAAATTGCACCATTCCTAAAGGTGTGAAGTTTGAAGAAGACGTAAGTTTCTGCCGAATAAATAAGAATCGAAGACTTGTTATGTAACTTTTTCATAAAATGCGTTTGAATTCCTGGAAGCATCGAAAATCAATGGAAACGGTCATTTTTTACGGCGTGGTTTTTTCAGGCGACAGGAAAGAAATTGGTTCAAAAGTCGGCATAAAAAAGTAAATGAAATATCTCGAGATTATGCTGCACAACGATTAATTTTACAACCCGTTATAAGTAATCTCTTAAAATTGAAAATCATTCAAAATTTCGGTTGACATTCCATATACTTTATTCTGGAAATCAAGTTCATTTTAGCCTACTAGTTGATGTTTGGGAATTAAAACATTTTGGGAAAAATTTTGGTTTTGACAATCTTCTACGTTTGATATTTGTGTAAAGGCATAGTTTTGCTAATTTTAAGGTGGGGTGACCCATAACATTAATTTATTCAAAGAAGGCCACCTAGACAGAAAAGAGCTCCCCACAGTGAGTTCACCCCTCGGGCCATCCCTTCAATTATTTTGTGACTAGGTTTACCTGTTAACAACTGCAAACAGACTGGTTGGTCCATGGAAAACTGCCGGAATTATGCCAGCAAGCTCTGACGTCGTTCGTTTTTAAATATCGGATTTTCGCAGTACTATATAAATCTTTGCGATACCGTCCCTAGAAAACTGAAATGAGTCAATTTCGCATCCTATTAAAAACAGTCTTTTGGCGTTAGTGAGTCCGTAAGTCTGAAAAACTGCAAGACAACACGCACTCCTAGATGTAGTTTAGAATGCCCAGTAAAAGCAATAGTGGTTGCACTTCCTTGCATTTCTGGCTACGCGTAAGCCAAAGGTCAATATCGATATCCTAAAAATCTAAGCTATGCGAGAAGATGAAGATTATGCGCTAGCAGACAAGGCATTTAGTACTCAGAAGACTTGGAATTCACTGAGACGACTCGGAGAAGCAAACTGGGGAACTTCAGTGCTACGTAGCTAATTCACAAATAGGACTACCCATCATCATGACTGCCTTCTGCATATGCTTTTGTATTGGCGCCGCCATTATATCGCCAGAGTCTGTCCATGTCAACTGATCTGTCGTTAACAGATGTATAAACAACTAGTAGCTGATATATCTCACGAAACGTTAACTATCATTCTGAATTGCGTGTTCGACTAAAACGGATTACTTAACTAATTGTAGTGCAGCATGAGCCTTTATCCGCAACTGTCTCTGATGATTCGTTCGAATGAGAACCCGAAGCTTTAAGGCAATAAACTTCTTGTTTTCGTGGTCCAATCTTCTTTTGATTCCAATATATTTCATTTATGAGCCGATGTCAGCTTTGTAATGAACTTTTTCAGCCGTTTGTAAAACCAAACCCGAGAATAAATGGCTAATTAAACAGTATAAAATGTTTCTGCTGTTTTGATATGTCTTTGTAAATCTAATTTCTTTTTGCAAAAAGTACACAAGAATATCCTTGTCCGTGTTTGTTTTGTTGCAAATTACGTCTTCTTAAAATTTTTCACTCAAAAACTAGGTTGAACTTGGCTTTGAATTCAATCCTCAAACTATTTCAAACGCGACCTGCAGTTAAACTTGCGTTAAGGCGCTCCGAATCCACATGTTGTCTGCTCTCTCTGTAATTAAAATCATGTAATTATCTAAGCCCTAAAATAGACGTCACACACAGTTTATATAATTCCCCAGTGGATGTCGACTATGTTACGCAATTTATAAGAATGAATAATGAACGGACAGGTACCAGGCCCGATGAATGGACATTTCACGGTTTCGAAAACCTCCTTATGACAAGCTCCGCGAAATTATAGCGTACAATATCTCCTGGTATTAATTTTGAAGTCGATGTAATTTTTTACTAAATGAGTACTAAAGATTAAATATTTGTGTATGTTTTCCATAAAATGTAGTTGGTTCAACAAACGAATCAATATATGGTGGGAAAAATCATGCCACATAACTGGTCAATTAAATAGATTGCGGTTTTTTCCGTCTTTTTTCTAACTTCTGCTGCTTTGGTTCATACGTAGTCAAACCACAAGTAGAGTTGCTCACTATAACCGCCTGTATTTGCAAGGGTTTTCTAGTGGCGACGCAATTATTTCTTCTCGATCTGCCCACGCACAACTCTGTGTCTTAAACACAGTTGAAACTACATTAGCTGATTTATCTCGGGGTATGTTAACTAGACTTATGAAATGTGCTTCCGATTAGTAAGGGTCACTCAAATGGGGCTGTTATATTATCACGCAGCATAGTTCCAAGATGTTTTATTCGTGTAAAGAAGCCGGCTTTTGAATAAATTTACTTTAGCCATCTGTGAAACCACACTTAATAGTGAATGATATTAGATATTTTTAAGTTTCTTCGCCTAAAGCCTAGGTGGGATTTGGCTCTGAATTCCGATTTCGAGCAATTTCTGACGGGACCTGCAGTTGAAAGTGCGGTAGACGTTCCGAAAGCACTGGCCGCATGCTGTCTTAGGTGTCAAATGTAGCTCATATAATTTCGCAAAGGATGCTGGCTATGTTAAATACTTCATAGGAACTACTAATAAACGGACTGGTACTGGGCTTCATGAATGGTTACTTTGCGGTCTTAAAGCCCTCTAGTTGAAAACATTAACTTATCGCTTACATTTTTAATTCGATATGGTTTTCTGTCGAACGAATATCTGGATTTTTTACGCTCGTGTCTTTTATAAAATATATCCGGATCAATATCGAATTGAAGTCTAACAGGAAGAATCAAGGTAAATAAGTAGTCATTTTAACCGATTGGGGTTTTTACGGTCATTTTTCATTCCTCTGTTGCGCGCTTTTATGGCAACATTTTTCTGAACGACACTTATCTTAAAAACGTTTACCCAGTAGTACATGATAAAGGCATCCTGGGAGACAAAATGCATTGTCGCAGAGTAGGACGTTGGCCTTATCGGGAGACATATCGATGACGACAGAATCATTTGACTCTGAAGGGGCAGTTCATCAACTTACATGCCTCAGACGTCCATTACTGCTGAGTTCACACACATAGAGAAACCCCAGCCGGCGGTCCTGAGTACTGACCTATTCCCACCCGCCGGGAGTTCAACTCTCGAGACAATGGCATAATGATGATAGGCAGGGAGAAGAGATGGCAACATGTCCTGGATATTTCGATCCCTAAAAACAACTTCGCAAACTAGTATGTTGGGCCAACCTGCCGAATAACTTACGCATTGCATTGATTTCGTATTGGTCTTGTCTCCTGCACATTAAGGGACACAGCCCGAAGGCAGTTAAAAAAATCCAAAGTATTGCACGTTGATTACTGCTATATTATTGGTTGCGACAATGACCTACAGCACAGGTCAAATACTTAGGAGAATAAAAAGCTTGCCAGTAATGTAAAATAAAGTTCTCCTGTGACCAAA